TGTGTTTTTCCACTTTAATTTTGAGTGTGACTCCAAATCCAGACCTCCATGATTTCCATTTTTTAATTTTTGTATTTCAGAAGAATATTTAATTCATTCAGATCTAGGATGTGTTATTTTTGTGTTCCCTTTATTTTTTTGAGCAGTGTATATATATATATATATATATATATATATATGTCACTGCCTTTCTTTGCAGATTATGAATTCCAGTTTTTTGTATCTTACAGCTAGGTAATGTTCAGTCTCAGCATCCTGAATCTTATAACTTTGATACATGGATATAGTTTTTAATTTAAATATTATGTTATGTATATCTTTTTTGGTCCTCAGATTCTCTTGTCTTTTTTTAGTAGTTGGGACTAGCTTTATTTTGTGGGATGTTCACCCACATATATTATATGAGACTACCGATTAATTCGGGGAATTTGTAGGTTTGCCGATCCTATTATTATTTATATTGTGATGTATGTGGTTCAATACATTGTGGGGGTCTGTACTTTACATACTTCTACATCACATTGTTCACCTACACAGGGCTTGATTTTCAGGTTTTATTCACATATTGTTGTTATGTATTTTGTGCACTGTTCACTTATACACACACACTCTCATTCCTTATCACACTGCATTTTTTTCAGACACTATGTGTCTTATACATTCTTACACTCATCCTTAGCACTTACACACCTTGTGCTAATTTACCCTATTGGCTCTACTATTAATATCTAGACACTTTATATCCTGTTAGAATACTTGGGGTTCTGGCTTTTCTGGTCCCATTACATGTTGTATTTAATTTATCTTTGGATCTTCCATGAAGTACGAGTTACACTGGGGGCGTTTGTTGACACGCGGGCACGCTAGGGGCACGTCATTACGCATGCATGCGTGAACGTCAGTATGCACGCACACAGCCGATCAGCACTCGATGGGACACGGAAATCACTTCACAGATGGGGTAAGTTAGATATTTTACATTTGTCTATATATATGCATTTTGTGCACGTTGTTATTATTTTGATAAAGACCCTGAAGGGTCGAAACGTTGATGTAGGTTGATTAACACTTTATAAATAACACTTTTGAAAATCCAAGTGAGTGCTCCTGATTGACAGCATTTATATATATATATATATATATATATATATATATACCAAAAGAGTGCCTCATAATCGCACTTTATACATGGATTCCTTGAATTATGTGTCTGCTGTATACAACAGCTTTGAAACACAAATCAGGAAGAGGAGCAAAGCCAGTGAACCAGTTGTTAATGCAACTCATCAGCATGAAGTTGGCTACTTGCTGTGGGAAAAGCAAGTCTTATGGCTTGACTGGTCTGTGTATTTGTGTTTAGTAATGTATCAACTATCCACGTACTTCAGGTGGAAGGTGTTTTCATCCACACTTTTTTCCCCACCACAACTCTGTTGGTATGTACTCTACAAGTGTCATGCGGTATCTCTTCTGGGTTCGGCACTTATGCATTGCGGAGCCGGTCCCGCCCCCTTCTGACGCGGCTCTGACAGTAATTAGGGAGACCGCGCCAGGGAGAAGGCGCTTGGTGATGTGGGACCTACTTCCGGGTATACACGCCGGCTCCACAAGCTCTGACAAGCCGTCCCAGCCTTTGAGCCAATGCAAGGATTGCTGCAAGCCATAGAGGATTACTGGAGAACGGATACTTTGCTAATTTACAAGTGGACTATAACTCTTTACTCTTGGAGGACAACTCACCTTAACCTTAAGTATATCTTTCAACTATTGTCTGCAATATCATTTATTAATGAACCAATTCCTGCTAGCTCAAATCTTCTCTGCTTCAAGTTACTAATTATATGGAGGACAACTCCCATCATGCTTATTTACTATGAACTGTTTCTTGGAACCAATTCCTGCTTGCTTAAATGTTCTCTGCTTCAAGCTACTAATTATATGGAGGACAACTCCCATCATGCTTATTTCCTATGAACTGTTTCTTGCTTTGCAGATACTCTCTGCTACCTGCTTAATGTTTCTATTGAAGATTATTCCCAGCAACCTAAAGAATCTTATTAAAATCTTCTCTGAGGAAATACTTATTAATGAACTTTGTATTGTTGGATAACCTGCACTTTCTTCTTATTGGATTATTGCCTATATGCAATTCATTTAAGTTTATCAATCATTAAAACTTTGTTTGATTCTCAAATTGCCAGCAATCCTCTCTTTTCTTAAAGCTACACTATTGATACTTTAAAGATTCTTCATTTCTTCACTATTGTAATTAGGGAGTTCTACAAGCTGCAGTTGAGTTCCAATCCAAATAACCCAAGTAGCATAACAACAAGTAACGCCAAGCCTCCATAGCAAGCCGGTAGCCAACCTCATGAGTTGCATTAACAATGAAACAGCTGTCCATGAGTGGTTCCCTGGCATTGCTCCTCTTGCTGAGTTGTGTTTCAAAGCTGTTGTATACAGCAGACACATACTCCAAGGAACCAATGTATAAAGTGGAATTATGAGGCAAAAATGTGGTTCTTTGTTGAGCTCATTTGCATATGCCTACCCAGAATCCCTTGCAGTAGTGAGAGCACTGTTAAAGTGAGATTTATGTGGGAAAAGCAAATCTTATGGCTTGACTACTGTGCAGATTTTTGTTTAACATTGTATTAACTATATATATATATATATATATATATATATATATATATATATATATATATATATATATATATATATATATATATATATATATAATGTGTGTGTGTTGTGACAAACTTACTTCCCTGTGTACAGGGCCGGACTGGGAAAAAAATTCGGCCTGGGCATTTTTTTATCACAGCGGCCCACTAAGAAGGGGGCGGGGTAGAAAGGGTGTGTTTTGTCATCACTCATGACAAACACGCCCCCTCTCAAAGTGAGCATGTTGGTTCAATGCTCTTCCAGGGCAGACCATGCGCAGAGCTCTGCTGAAGAGCTCTAGCATGAGGAAAAAGCCCTGTATTTGTTCTGCACAGTGCAAGCAAATTTAATAACATGCTTGCACTGTTTCCTTGCAACTTGTCTCTGGTGTCTCTATAAATGGATACCAGGAGACAAAAGGGCCAGGAAAGAGTATTGTGCATGTGTTTGGAGCCTGTTTGTGGTATTACGTTTGTGAAGAGTGAGCTGGTCATGGTGTGGTATTGTGTAATAAGGTCTGTTTTAGTCGTGTTGTGTTTGTGGTGTAATGTAATGCATATGTGGCTAGGGGCTGTAGAGAATGTGTGTATAGGGGATGTAGCAAGTGTGTGCATACAGGCTATAGTGTGTGTGTGTATAGGTGATTTAGTGTTTGTAGAGAGTGTGTGTTCAGGGAATGTAGTATGTGTTTGCGTACAAGGAATCTAGTGTGCATATAGGGGATCCAGAGTGTGTGTGTGTATATGATCCAGAGTTGGCTAAAGGATCTAGTGTGTGTCTGGAATGTAATGTGTTTAGGGGTGCAGTGTATGTGTGAGGGGTGTTGTGTGTATGTGTATATATATATATATATATATATATATATATATAGTTTATATAAATATGTTTGGAAGTATTGTGTATGTGTGTGATGCAGTGTATTGGGGGTTGTGTGTGTATGTGAGGGGTGCAGTATGTGTGTGTGAGGTGTG